CCCCAAAACCCCAAAACCCCAAAACCCCGTATGGGTTTTTTGTAATTGAAGATGAAATTTTGATTATTTAAGGTATTTTTAGAGTTGAATTCTATTATATAGGCTAAATGAAGATATTAGAGTCTATTTTTTAACCCTGTGGTTAATAAAAGTTAGAATTATAAAGGGTAAAATCAATCAAAAATTATATAAAATTGGACAAAAAACTCTAAACTTCGCTATTATTAGATAAAATCTCACTTTGGTCAAGATAATACTGATAAAATATAATCTCCTAAAATTCCTTAAAATATCTATGATTCTTGCGATGTTTGCTAAATATCATTTGTATCAAAATTTGTTTTGAATTCTTAGAAGGAAGTTCAATTCAAGTAATAATTGTATAAATTATTTATAGAAAGATCAAAATAAACTTTGCAAGGGAGAAAGCTGAATGGGAAGATAGATAGCCTTAGTAAAAACAAACCAAATGATAAATCAGGTTCATAAAAATTGCCATGAATCAAATTTCAAAGGTAATTTTTTATTAACTTATAATTCCTATTATAGAAGTCGTAAAAATTGCTACTGTGCTTCTTTCATTCTTAAACCAACCATTTATCATTAAATTTCATCATCCTCAATGTGCTCTACCTACATAATCCCTTGAAAAATACTAAATTTCTAAACCCTAAAAATCCTCTTCGACCAGTTAATCTCATCAAAATACCCCAACCTCTTTTTCTTCGATTTTTGATCCTTCAATTTTCCCAGCTAAATCGTCTAAATTGAATTTTGCCAACGAAGAAAAATATATTAAAATTTTCAGAAAATATACAAGAAAATACTCTGAATTCAAGCTAGTACAAAACTCGTTTATTAGGCCTTTCCTTCACACAGACAAGGATCTGGTTCACTATAAACTCCCGTGGAGTCTTTCGGAGGTTCAAGAGAGGTTGTATTTACCTTCAGTTGGATTATTAGTTGGTTTAATGAATGGTGTAGGGCAAAGTAGACTATCTTCTCAACCAGCACATTACAGTCAGGGTTTTTGAGAGGTTGAATTATGTCTCATTCATGAAGATTTAGAAATTCTATAGATGGTTTGGTGCACTCTAATCTGTTGAGATCACTTATATGTATCTCTCAATCACCAAATTTTAAGTTATAGTGTTCTCCACAGGCAGTCAGAATTTTTCAGAATTGTTTTTGTGAGAAATTGAATGATTTAAATTTTACTTTCATTCCGGGAGTACTGAGAATTTTTCATATATTTCGGATTTAAAAACTAAAATTGACCATTTAGTTAAAATGCCTTTGAAATATAATTTCTCTAATACTACTTCCTCTCAATCTCTCAAGAAAGTCATTCAGGCATTAAAACTTCCCACTGATATTAAAAATAGCAACCAATTCTATAACTTCCATCTTCAATGCTATCTTCCCAGCACCTTAAATTTGTTAATTAATAATTTGTGTCTAAAGACTAAACCCTAGCTCTTTACTTTCCTCAAATGTTTCAAACACAAACTTAAACCCTTGATTATCCAATATCTGAGGTAAGACCCTCTCTAGTTGCTGGTAATCCTTCTTCGGCACTATTCCTAAGCCAAGTTTCTCTCCAGTTACATCTTCAGCTTGTTCTTCCTCCATTATAATTTTAAAGATATGTCATAAAATTATTATTTCTTGAAATTTAAGGTGGGGTTTTGGGGTTTTGGGGTTTTGGGGTTTTGGGG